CTGCGCGCAGGAGAGCGGCCCTGGGCAAGAGCGACCCCTGGTGCGCGACCCTCGGGGGCCGTGGGGAGGCCAGATCTGGGCGCACAGCACGCTGCTGCCGCGTCGCGTTCGGTCAGATGGGGGCCCTCGTGCGCCCGCACCAAAAGGTCACTCTGGCGTTGGGCCACCCGCACGCGTAGCCGAATCCTCCGCGCCGCCCCGCGCGAGGGCCCGCACGTCCAGCGCAGCCCGAGCCCCCGCCGCGCCGCCCGCAGGCCGAGGGCCGCCCAGGCGCCGCGCGCCGCCGCGCGCGGCGGCGTCGGGTGGCGGGCCTTGTGCGGGGTCCCCCGGCTCAGTCGCCTCCCTGACGTCGCCTCGTCCGCTTCCGTCTCCTCGTTTCCCTCCTCCTCCTCCTCCTCCTCCTCCTCCTGCTCCTCCTCCTCCTGCTCCTCCTCTGCAATTTCCTCATGAAGTGGTTCCTCCGTGTCGCACCCGGACGCGTGCCAGTGGGGCGGGCCGTGCGTTTCATCCGAGATTTGCTCACAACTCGTGATCCTTAAGTTTCGACCTTGCAAACAGCTTCGCGGATGGAGGGCGGTGGCTTTCAACATGTGGCTCTCGCCTTGGCGACGCGCATATTCGCTTTAAAAATTTACTGACAGTTTCACAGCTAGAGGGCGGTACCTTTTCAACATGTGGTCCTCGACTTAGTGCCACTCAAAAAGCTTACAGCAGTTTCAAAGATTTCAATGGTTGACGTTCCAGAAATAATGTTTTAGCACGACTCAAGATCGCCAGGACGCAACAGGAACGTTGATTCGCGGCGCTGAGGTCCCAGAACTATTGCTCTGGCGCGGTTCGGGGGGATTTTTAACGGTTGTCGTCCAGAGGGGCGCGTCAGACAATGAAAACAAATATTTGTAGGGTCCTATGGATAAGAACTTTGAGGGACGGTTTATTGCAACATCGTTGATGCATCTTGCGTTTGCACTGGTCCTCCTCCTCCTCCGCCTCTTCCTCCTCCTCCTCCTCCTGCACCTCCACTTCCTCCTGCTCCTCCGCATCCACCTCCTCCTCAACCTCCTTCTCCTTCTCCTCCCCCGCATCCTCTTCATCCGCCTCCTCATGCTCCTGCGTCTCCTCCTCCGCCTCCTTCATTACTTTTCCTTGTGAAGAACTTCTCCCTGTTGCAACCCGACGCCTGTTTTTAGGGCGGGGCGGGCGTTTCGCCTGAGACTTCCTCCCCATGCATGACCATGATGCTTGAAAAGTAGCAACAGCTTCGCGGATCGAGGGCGGGTGGTTTTCAAACTGTGGCTTTCGCCTTATCGCCGCGCACATTTGTTTTAAACACGTGCAGAGATTTCACGGATTGAGGGCGGGTGGTTTTCAACATGTGGCTCTAGCCTTGGCGCCGCGCACATTCTTTTTAAACAATTGCAAGAACTGCGCGGATTGAGGGCGGGTGGTTTTCAAAATGTGGCTTTCGCTCGAGCGACGCGCGCATTCGCTGTCAAACATTTCAAAAGCTGTACGGATTGAGGGCGGGTGGTTTTCAAAATGTGGGCATCGCCTTAGTGCCGCGCGCGTTCGTTGTCAACAACTTCAAAAATTACATATTGAGGGCGGGTGGTTTTCAAAACGTGGCTCTCACCTCAGCGCCGCGGTTCCACGGGTTTCCATGATCAACGTACCAGAAATTGCGTTTTGGAGAGATTCCAAGAAGAGGCGCCACAGATACGATGATTCGTGATGAAGTCCCAGGAGTGGCGTTCTGGCACGATTCAGGATCGTCAAGACGCAGCAATCAGGTTGATCCGTGGCGTTGGGACCCCGAGAATACTGTTTCGGCATGATTCCGGGCATTCGAGCGGTTGACTTTGAACGGGGCAGTTCCTTTAGTGAAAATGAACCGTTGTAGGGGCCTGTGAAGAGGGAGCTTGGACAGACGGTTGATTCCAACGCTAGTCCTACTCCTCTTCCTCCTCCTCCTCCTCCTCCTCCTCCTCGAGCTGGACTCCGAGCCCATTTTCGAAGCCCGCCCGGCTCGTCCTGGATGCTGGCAATGTTTTTGCGGTCGCCGAGGTGGTGATTCACGTTGCACTGTGCGGCTGGCTGTCTTCTTGGTGGTCTCAAGCTCCTCCTCGGTCTTCTGTAAAGCCACCACGTTTGTGAACTGGATGTGCTCGTGGTGGGCCGCCACCTTCTCCGTGGCGATCGTGGTGCTCGCGAGCTCCTCCTCCAACTCTATCTGGTAACTCTGAGCTTGTCTAGATGTTTGTTGTTGCTCCTTCTGTTGAACTGGTGTTTTCTCCTCAGCTGTTCTTAGGTGCCAGTGTGAGTCCCGTAGCTCTGCTGAGGATTTCTTTCTTGCCTTGTCGCTGTCCTTCTTGGTCCTGTCGAGATCGTCGAAGTTCTCATCGGCCTGTTTCTTGCAAGTCAAAGATGTCCTGGGCAAGGCGCTGGCTTCCCTCTTTTAGGGCCTCGAGAAGTGCCCCGGCATCTTGTCCATCGGTAGTTTCGCTAGCCCTGTTCTGCCGTCTCGGGGCTGGCGTTGGGATCCTCCTGTGGGAGCATTATCTTGGTGGTTGGTCCGCCTCGTCGCCTGCCGCTCTTGTGTCGTTGTTTGGCATCGGCTCTGGCGACGCTGATGTCCCTCGACGGAGTGCAGCTCGTTGATCTTCACTTCGAGGACGTTGATGTATCTTTCGACATCTCTCAGTTGGCCTTTGATGTGCTCGTAGTGGTCCTCCTTCGTCTGCTTGATGCGGTCGATTTCCCTCGCCTGTTGGGCGAGCGGGAGACAACTGACGATCGTGGCTTTGATGAAGGCGAGCTGTGATTCGGCAGCTTTTGTGGGTAAGCCGGCAGCGCTGCTCTCCATGATGGAGGCTACTGCTCGCCGCTGGTCAAGGACCTTGAGCTTCTTTCAGTCCTCTTTGAGCTTGGGGTTGTTTGGTGGTGACTCCCAGTCTCGCCTGCGCGCGGCGTAGGCTTAGCGCATGGGCATTGCGTTGCCGATGATGTGGATGAGGTGGACGTTGAATTCCTGGGGGGAGTTCCTTTGTTTCGTCTTGAGTGCAATATCCTCGTCGGGTGCTGATTGTTGTATGCCCTTGCCTATCTTGTCTTTGTTTCTTCCCTGCTGCTGGCGGCTGCTGTCCTCGATGTCGTCGTCGCACGGCTTGGGGAAGCTGCCCTTGTCCTTGCCGGTTGTGCCCTTGGTGCCTTCACCGCTGGAGTCCAAGCTCCAGTAGGTGTCGGGTTGCTCGGGCTCCCACTTCCTGTCGTTCCTCCACCAGTCGGAGCCTGATCCGACTGCGCGTGTCGTAGATCGGGGGTTAGGTCCCCTCCTTTGAGTTCGATTCGGGGTTGCCCTCCCGGGTGGTGACGTAGTCGCTAAACCGCTCGCGGTGGATTCCCACGCTGCAGCCATGGCTGTAGCTGGAAGTGCATACCGCGGTGGTTGTTGCGCACTGTGGTGCGTCTCTCTTTTGTGCAGCGTGACTATGGTGCTGCGAGTGCTGATCAAGTAGAGAAGGTTAAGGTTCTGATGCAACTTGTAGTAGTACTCGTGCTGCTACTCGCCGTTCTCGTTCCCGTCGGTGCCACGCTGGGTCGGCCGACGTCGAGGTCGTGCTGGTGCTGACGTCACCGGCGTGGTGGATGCTGGCGTCGCCTGAGGGAGAGAACAACAAGTAGTCGAAACGGAGGGTAAATGATGGGGGTGCAAGGGGGATGTAACGGTGTAGTTTCGAGGTTTCGATTCGAGGCTGGCCCCTGGAGGCTGGCGCACTGCAATGGTATTCGGTCAACCGTGGCTTCCGCCGCCTGCTCCTGCTCCTCCTCCTCCTCCTCCTCTCCGCCTCCTCCTCTCCGCCTCCTCCTCATCTGCCGCCTCCTCCTCTTCCCCCTCCTCCTCCTCCTCCACCTCCTCCTCCTCCTCCTCCTCCTCCTCCTCCTCCTCCTCCTCCTCCTCCTCCACGCTGGCGCCAGCAGCCGCGGCCAGAGGCGGGAGCAGCAGCGGCCAGAGCGGTGGCATCCTGGAGGGCGGAGGGGGGGAGGAGGGGGAAGAGGAGGCGGATGCGGAGGCGAAGGCGGAGGCGGAGGAGGAGGAGGCGGAGGCGGAGGCGGAGGGGGAGAAGGAGGAGGAGGAGGAGGAGGGAGACGGAGGGAGGAGGAGGAGGAGGAAGGAGGAGGAGGCGGAGGAGGAGGAGGAGGAGGAGGAGGAGGAGGCGGAGGAGGAGGAGGAGGAACGAGGAGGAGGGAGGAGGGTGGAGAAACAACGGCCAGAGCGGCGGCATTCTGGAGGACAAGGTCGGTCAGCATCGAACCGTCAAATCGGGTCGAATCGAACTGTGCACAGCATCGGGCCGCGTCGGCACGGAGTCGAAATCGAATCGGAGCGGCTGCGCCGAGATGCACAACGTCGCCGTCCAAACGTTGGGCCCCATCGGATCGTCGGAATATCGGAATCGGAACGGGCCGAACTTGCCGAACTCGACAGCGAACTGGATCGATCGGACCGAAGTGGACCCTGGGAAGCGGGGAGGTGGCCCAAGAGGGCCTGATATGGTCCGTGAGGGGGATCGCGGAAGTGGAGTTTGGGGAGCTCCGATCGGGGGCTGCAGAGATGAGCATGACAGCGACGTTCGGGATGGGATGGGGAAGGAGTGAAGAGGAAGATGAAGGGGAGGGGGAGGAGGAGGGGAAGGAGGAGGATGATGAGGATGCGGAGGAGACGCGGATGAGGTAGGCATTGCGGGACATGGAGGGAGAAGTGGATGATTTCAGACATTGCTTTCGGTATTTTGAGTTGGCCCCAACGTGGCGCTGCATGGGGTTGAAGGGTTTTTTGGGGGACGGCGACGACGAAAACGCTGAAACCAACGACGTCGGAAACGAGGAAGAGGAAGATAATGACCAGAGCAAACCCAACATGAACCAACGGTGCTGCAATACACCCTTTCTTCCCAAGTTTCCTTCTCACAAGTTCGCGGAGCCTTCCTTTCACTACAAGA